CTAGGAAATATTCCTTTAACTGCTGAATAAATGAATTCACAGCAAAGTGCTCCACAGCTCTATCTTTCTCTGTTCTATGTTATACTCCCAAAGAGACTCCATACTCCAGGAAACAGTAAATATCTTCTGCTTTTCAAATCCAACTAAAATCTTGTCTAAGTTGGTAACAACTTATCTACTCCTAACTCTTGAGAATCACAGTTATTATCTGGTTATTACAATGTCTGACCTCCTTATCTGCTAAAGAAACACTATAGATGTGTTTATTGAGAAATGGTGCATCAACTTCAGAAAATCCAATTATTGGCATTTAAGGAAAAAAACTCTAAGATCACACACCTGAAAATAACACAGCAGAATACTTCAACTTTAGAATACTGTATTAAAAAGATGTTATTCACAAATCTATTATTCCTCTTGTAATTCCATCATGAGAAACATCTACTTGCCAAAATGTGGCCCTGAATTGTGAAACTAGTCTCCTGTTTCTTCTTATAAAATATACTGGCAAAGACCAACAAACCCACACAGCTACAATGAAACCCATCTCCACATTCCATGGCTTCAAGGCAATTCCATAAATACAGGGTCATAAAAAGAGCCTCCAAACTCCTGTAGCCAACACACCATTTTAAGGATAGGAAACTGAAGACAATGACACATGATTGTGCAGTTACAACAATCCGAGAAACTCTTCAAGTTTGTAGGAATTACAAAACTTATCTTAGAAATCAACCTACCAAAAAAGAATGCAAAATTCATACAATGTAAGTGATGAACAAATTTCAGCAAAATGTTAAAATTTTATAATTCGTATGCTTTAAGCTACAAGTCATATTCACCATATTCATATGCTGGTAACAATAAAATCTCAAGAAAACAGGATGTTCAAGTCCCAGCCAACGGCTTATTTACCGCAAATGCATTTGATATTACACAGTTCAAATGCTTTAAGGGAACATAAATAGCTCTTTTGAGTTCAACATAATACCTGACCAGGGAAAAAACTGTATACTTTTGAACTGTAAATATAAAGACGCAACTTCCTAGCGAAGCACAAACTTGTGATTTCTTTTCAATTCTGAAAGACTACAAGTAAAAAATATATACATGTAACTGCTATGTCCCCTACAATTAAGGAGGATTTGGTAGTTCAAGTTTCTGAATAATTTTTTAAATTTTATAATAATATTACTGTAAAACAACTGAGAGAATACTATGTGCCAGGCCTTGCTAAGAATTTCACACACACTATTAAAATAAGAGAATCACTAAATTACATGTTGTAAGGCAGGTTTTCAGGTTTTAATTGCTTCTTGATACTATTAATTAATCTGGTGACCACTGAAATATATCCCAATAATTTTACATAATTAAGGCAGAATAAATATAACCAGAGAACTAATTAAGATGAAGTATTACATTAATAGTCTTACCACAATATAAATTAGTTACTAGGCACACATCTTTATTAGGCAATGTTACTAGGCATGTTTGAACCACACAAGGGGTTAAAAATAACTACAATGAAAGGCCAGCAGTCTAGCAGCTCAGTTGAGCCAACATTCCCTTCCCTCCCCCTCCCCCTCCTGTCCTCCGGAGTCCAGAATGAATTGCATGCCCCACTGCACAAGGCCCAAAAAGGTCACAAGAGATGGCAGAGACTTTTGTAAGAGAACAGAAATAACTCAGCAGCTTTGTTACGGGTAGTTTCTTTTAATCAGTACGTTCAAAATCCTTTAATTAGCACTCTGTCTACACAAGGAAAGCATTTCTTCTGTGCCAGGGGAGGGCATGGATGTATGTACACAATGTTCTGTTTTATCAGCATCAGGACATGGAGCTAGGCCTCAAACTGGCTGCCAGGGAACAGAAGCACAGAAAATTTTGTAAATGGCCTGGTACCACATATTTACATACAATTTGCATTTCTATGACCAAACAACAAAATGATGATTAAGTTTGTTTCTTTTAGATGTCAATTTATTTCTGGACTTTTTTCCAGCAAAAATGCAAGTATTTTAAATTGAACAATATCTTTTTTTTTTTTCAAATATCACAAAGTAAGATATTCATGCTTAGTATAAAATAATGTTAACAGAATATAAAAATAGATAATCAAATATTGTTTCTTTCTTGGCCGGCCGAGTGGCATGTTGATTAAGAGCTAGCTTGGGACGCCAGGGGGCCCCGGTTCAGATCCCATATTTAAGGGCCAGTGACACTGCCCTCTACAGCTAAGATGCTGAACAGCTCAACCTGGAGCTGGGCTGCTGTTGAGTTGACAGCGACGGCGACAGCATAGACTGCAGCCCCGGCTGCAGTGGGTTGCCATGGGCTACCGTGTGTAGCCAGCAGCCAGCGTGAGCAGCCAGCAGCTGCCGTGAGCGGCTATCCAGAAGCCGGCGACTGATGTGCCTCGCCTGGGAAGAGCAAAATGATGGAGCCCCAACTTGGGCCAGTGAAGCAACGTCCTCCACAACTAGACAGAAGAACAAAAAGGACAGCAACTTATCTGTTCCCCATCCCCCAATTCCCCAATTAAGAAAAAAAATATTTAAAAAAAAATATTGTTTCTTCAGAATAAATCTTCAGTAGGAGAAAACAAATAAAACACTGTCTCACTCAAATAGGAATAAATCACAAGACACGTTTTCATATGGATGCTTTACATTTAAAATTTCATCCAACCATGAAGTCTTTAAACTTGCAGGCTGGATCACATGTATGTAGTTCCTTGTAAAATCTGAAAAACTGAAATCAAGGCAGATATTTGTGATTAATTACAACTATTTAAAAATCCAAAGCTAAGAAACAGGAAATGGTAACTATTTTAAAATCCACAGCCAAGAAAACATCATTAGTAAGCTGGGATTTGCAGTATGTTGACAGAGATATTTAAGTGTTACAAACTTATTTTTAATCTTTCAAAGTCAAGTTGGATATACACCGTAAGAATTACTGTGTGTGTGTGTGTGTGTGTGTGTTTGTGTATGTATATATACATAATTAAACAACAGCCTTCTAAATATCTGATTATAGAAACAAACTACTTAAACGTTAGATGAAGTTTATTAGGGCGTCAGCATAACACAACTGCGCAAAAGCCAGCTCTTCCACGCCAGCCATGAGCTCATAGCACAGTTCTGTACAATGGGAATAATACCATTATTTCGCAGATTGGCAAGAGAATTAAATGAGATGATGCATGTAAAGCACTTCGCAAAAATCCCAAAGTTTCCTGGTAAGGTTGTGGGAGGTGAGGGGGAATAGGTATTTGAATACATGGCACAAAAGTGTGAACTGGCACAACCTATCAAAATTACACACACACATACGCGTGCGCACGCGCATGGTCTGACAATTAAGTTCATGAACTTGATTCAACAATGTTGCTAACCTTTTTTGACATCAGAGGGATTATTCATTATGAATCTGTATCAACTGGACAAACTGTTAACCAAGTTTACCATTTGGAAGTGCTGAAAAGGCTGCATGAAAAAGTTAGACAAATTGAACTTTTCTCCAACAATTCATGGCTCTTGCATCATGACAATGCACCAGCTCACACAACACTATCTGTGAGGGAGTTTCTAGCCAGTAAACAAATAACTATATTGGAACAATCTCCCTACTCACCTGATCTGGCCCCCAATGACTTTTTTCTTTACTCGAAGATAAAGGAAATATTCAAAGGGAGACATTTTGATGACATTCAGACATCAAGGGTAATACAACAGCTGTGATGGTCATTCCAGAAAAAGAGCTCCAAAATTGCTTTGAAGGGTGGAGTAGATGCTGGCATCAGTGCATAGCTTCCCAAGGGGAGTACTTCAAAGGTGACCATAGTGATATTCAGCAACGAGGTATGTGCACTTTTTCTAGGATGATTTCACGAACTTAATTGTCATACCTCGTGTGTGTGTGTGTGTGTGTGTGTGTGTGTGTGTGTGTGTGTGTGTAAAATGTATATATGGTATCCACTGCAGCACGGTTTGTAATAGCCATATTGGAAACAATATAAATGCTCTTCAGTAGAGGACTGGTTAAATGTTACTTCGCTACAAGAGAATTCTACGCAGTTGTTTTTTAACAAAACGAAAAACTCTTTATATATTAATAGGGAAAGTTCTCCATGGCAAATTGTTGAGAAAAGAGAGAGCCAGGTATGGAACAGCGTGTATAATATGCTACCATACAAGTAAAAGGGGAGTAGATGCTCATGTTTATTTGAACAGACCAATAAATAAAAAATTTTTTAAAAAGCCTTTTGGAAAGTTATACAAGTAATTAAAAGCAATAGTTACCTACTGGTGATGAAAGCAAAACAGTGCCTGACAAGCCCTAATAAGTGAAAGCTATAATTACTGCCCTCATCATCACCATGAAAACATATCCTTAAAATATATACACAAAATCCATTCAAACTAAATCCATAATGAGGTAAACAGCCAAATCTCAATTATTCATAGACTATCTAGTTGGAGATCCAAGCCCTTCACTTCCTCTTCAAAGGTAAGTGGCTTTTGGCCAATGTACTGTTGGCTACCACCTTCAACAGAAAGTGAGCTGAGGAAATAACACCAAAAACAATCATTTTATTAATACTAATCAACACTTTTTCATAAACAGGTTTGGAGCTGCAAGGGACCATGAAAATCCCATAGTGCAACTTTCTAATATTACATATGAAGAAACAAAGTCCCAGAGAATTCCCCAAATTAGTGATGGTTCAAAGATCTGGAATCTGGCCCCTGGTTAAATGCTTTGTTTTATTGTTAATGAGATGAAGGAAAACTGAAAACAAAGGTAACTGAAATTAATTATCCTTGCTAATTCCCTCCCTCCACATCCTTTATTACAGGTAACTAAATTTGCTGAGATCAAATCCCATAAGAAATTGTAATAAGTAGAACAGGTGATCCAGAGAATCAGTCCTGAAGTTCCCAGGACTGAGCACTGAATGAACATCTGTGATAAAATTTGTAAAGTTTGCTTACACTAGAGATTGTCAGAGGCATGTTGAAATCCTTGCCACCTTGCAGCCGGAAACCCCAAGGAGCTGGGCCAACCAAAGACACAGTGTAGTTGCTCATGGTTCTAAAGGTTCAAAGTCCAATCCCAGAAGTGAAAGAAACTGTGAAAGAAAATCAGATGGTTAAAAAATATATTTATTTGAAGCCCTATTACATATTTAAATGTATTTAAATTAAACCCAACTAAATTATCTTCAGTATTTTCTTCTGAGGGGGGTGAGAGGAAAGTTAAGACTACATTAAGTTCTCATTTCAGTCTAAGAAAAAGTATCTATGAGCTAATACACAATTTCTAAACTCACGCCAATTTCCATAGCCTAAAAATTCCACGTCAGAATATATTCCCAGACACTTGATCAATTTTACTGCTTGCTACAATTTGCAGCTTCTTGCATACAAACTTGAACTCAAAGTACTTTGCAACACTTTGTTATACACAGAAGAAAGAACAAGGTTTTATTTCAGGTTTAATTCGAAATATTTTTCTCCTTTCTTCTACCTCATGCATTCTTTTGCCTACAGATAACAAGATCCTTCAATTTTACTTCCTTAAATTCTAAATTACTCTAACATATGAAAAGGGCTGCGAATTCATACATCCTCATTGATGCTTTCCAAATACCAGATTCTTTAAAACGAGAAGCTGTTTTTAATGCACAAAATTATTCTCTCCAATCATAAACTACAACTTGTACATCCTCTTATAGGGAGGTGATATTTTCCAAACTTAAAGTAATATTTACTTTTTCTTCAGACAGGCAATGATAGGTAATACTTCAGCACAGTGATACTTTAGTCAGAACCTTCTTTCTGTTTATACACACACTTCATCAGGCAAAGCAGAGAATTGAACACTGACCACACGTTGAAACTGACTGTGATAGTAGTGCATAGTTAATCTTAAATGCATGAAAGGGAATTGGAGCTTTAGAAAAGAACCAGCACTTCAGTGCTTGCTTTCTTGTGTGTTTTGCTGTAAATGAACTCATGACTCTCATGGTAGTACTTTTAATAAATAATAAATAATAAAAAATAATAAAAAACTAAAGAAAAAAAGTATTGCTTGGAGTTTGGTACTGGTTGTTATGGTGTTTACACGCAGGTGGGAGAATGAGAAGAATGGAGATTTTCTAAAATGTAATACTAAGAAACAGATTTCCCTCTTTAAAAATATTTAAAATATAATAGACGGATAATTTAATAATTTTAAAACCACTTTTTTTTTAAAAGCTGCTTAAAACATACACTTCCTTGGAAAATCTGTGCTGTTCAACCAAGTTATCACCATATATCACCTGTCAATTATAACGTTTTTCCATTTTGTTAACCCGTTCAAAACTTCTATCCCATCACATCAAAATTGATAGTGGCACAACAGCTATTCGAACCACGGGGTATATTAAAAGCAAACAGATTCCATCTTTTCATAAGGGGAAAATGAGGCAAAACTTTCAACTAAGTCTGGTTCTTAAATAAAAATTAAATCAGTGAATATCTGCATGGCATCTACCTAGAAACTAAATGAGCTTTCCCTCTGGCCTGATAGCATACTGAGCTACTAAACAATCCATTACTTCAGTACTGATGTAATGGGCGCAGGGCACTAGGAAAGACCCAAGGCCAAGGCAGAAATCAAACTGTTAGATATACGTGAAAAAACGAATAGGCAGGAGGGAATATGGGGCTACACACAATTTGTTTTCCTGCCATAATGAAAGAAGAGATTTTCATAGAGCTAGTAGAGAAAGACTGTTTTCATATTGGCACACCATACAAATCAGAAGTGTATAAAGCCAACAGATGTATCACACGTAGCCTGCCCCCTCTTTTTAATCTTTAACTTTTGTCAAGAGAAGTATGTGAAAGTTAGGTTCAAATTCTGGTCCCACTCTTCCGTAGAAGAAAATATATTTATGTATCAACGCATGTACTTGCAACTTTCCCTTTGCTTGGGAGTTCCCTTCCTGACTTCCCCCCCATTTGTTATTAAACTTTCTAGCACTAGCAAGGTCATTGCCACACTGCAGAACCACTGTGCCATTTCATTTCTAGTCAGGGTTGTTTCATTTCTAGTGTTCCCCCTCTGCTAACTTCACTTGCCTTAAAATATTCTGATCCCTAAGCAACGGTCATATTATTGGCCTTTTCCTGGTCTCCTCCGTTTGGTTATTAGGGACCAAACTCTTCCTAAAATAACAAGCAGGCAGGAAACAGTGAAGCCTACTCTGCTTTCAAACACGCAGAAAATGTTGGAACTTCTGTACAGTTCTGGATTTTCTCGTCAAGATAGTCCAAACAATGTCTTCGCCTTAGTGCTTGGGTAGGAAGCTTGGTTATTTCCCACACTTCTATCCCAGCTTCTTTGGTGGGTGAGAAGGGGGCAAGGAGAACTCGTGATGAACTAACTGCTCAGGGTAACAGAAACGGTCTGAAATTCAAAAGCATCATCTTGAGATGCTCTTTTTCCCCAGAATGAGAGGCCGTGGAGGCAGAGCTGAAGCGCTAAGGCCACAGGCACAGGATGATAGCAGCCGAGGAGACAGTGTTCCAGCAGATGTTCACGCCTAGCCCTGTTTGCCAAATAAGGCTCCCGAGCCGGCTGTTTCCGTGGCAGGCCGTCCTCACGGTCAGGAAGGCGGACTTGGGATAGGATCTGGCGATCACACCCTAGACCTGCCCTGCTCGCCGCAGCCACGGATTTTCTTTCCAAGTTCTGCCCTTGTCCACACGCCCTTCCTTTTTCCACTTATTGTCAAACGCACGGAGGGCACAGTCGTATAAAAGCCCCAAGAAGCACCCAAGTCTGAATAAATCTGGCGTGCGCTCCAGATTTAAACAAGCTTTATTTCCGGACGCACGGGAAGTTTTCCCCAAACAGGTTACACAATCCTAAATATTTGGGTGGAAATAAATGCTTCCCAGTTGCGTGAAAGCAAAACAAACAAACAAACAAATACCTGAACACGCCATTCCTGTTTCGTCCCGCTTCCTCCCCACACCTCCTAGAGATTCACGCCCAGACCTGGATGGCCCCGGACACCAAGGCGGGAGCCCGGAGCCGGCCGGCGGGTCGGTGCGTGGCGCCCGGGGGCCCTTCCGCGCCCGCCCTCACCACCCCGGGCGCCCCGCTCCCACGTCCCTGCCTCCGCCTCGCTCGTCCCGGCCGCCCGGGCTCCGGGGACTCCCGGTGCCCCCGGTCCACTCCCGCTCCGCCCTTTCCCGGGCGCTCCTCTTCCCACGCCGCTCTCCCACCTCCGCCGCTCCGCGTCCAGAGAGCACCTGAGCGGCCGCTCCCGTCCAGGGCGCGCCCCCTCCGCCTCCCCAGCTGGGCTTTCCTCGTGCTGCACGTACGGCAAACGCTCCCTTCCCTCCTCCCCACTGGGGATCAGAGACGCGCATCCCCAGCTGAGGGCCACTCACCTCGGGTCGGGCACCGCGCTGCCTCCGCTTCAGACGAGCGCTGACAAGTGATTTGCGGTGCGTACGCCGACCTCCCAGCCCGCGGGAACTTCCGCCTCTGAGCTCTCCCGGCCCCGCCCCCGAGCCGGGGCACGCCCTCTCCGCCCCGGCCACACCCCTGGGCGGGGCCAGGCGGCGCGGCGCCGGCGGAGAAGGCTTTGCCGGAGCCCAGCGCTCGGGCATGCAGGGACGGGCGAAACACGCCACGGAGAAACAATTGCGCTACCGAGTTTCGGTGGGAGTAGTCTTAGGGGTTTTCAAGCAGCACCTGGCAAAGGTCTGTTCAGCGTGTCTGTTTTGCGGTGGATGCATTTCTCTCTCCAGAAACTTTTGAATTCGAGAGCAGTTGCTCTGGCTAAAAATAGAAGGAGGCTTTGGATAAATCCCTATCTATGCAAGTTCAGTGGCTATTGCTTGTTTTCTTCAGAGAGCTTTATAGGTCCCGAGAAGTGCAAACCCTGGAGTTTGCTTGTCAGGAAGGTGAAAATTAGTAACTTTAATATCGAGAAGTTAAATCCTGTGATCACATCAGTAAACAGTGATAAAGAGCAGCAGCCAAAAGTGGTTCAGCCACTATAACCTCAGCTTATTTTTCTAAGTCCAAATCAATAATAGTCCACTTTCAATAAAGTTTCAATAGTCCAGTTTCTATAAAGTTGCTTGGAATACTCCAAGAAATTTATTCATAAATAAATTTGACTAATGTTTAGTGAACATACGGAAAGTGACTCGAGTTCTTTAAACTCCGTTGGCTTATTAAAATGTGAAAAGATCAATTTTTAACGGAGGGACATGTAAAGCAAGAATCAACTTCTTGGGGTCCATGAATCCCTTAGAAGTACAAACAAAATTCTAGAGAAGTTCCAAACTGCTCTGTCGAAAAGCGTAGCCACTAGCCACGTGTGGGTATTGAACTTTTGAAATTTGGCTACAGAGCCACTGCTTTTTTTGTTTTATGTAAGTTTAATTAATTTAAATTTAAGAACTGAAGCAGGGTAACCTATTTCCACTAAACACAACTTTATTGTTTGGGTAGGAATAGATTTCACTTTACCATTAAAAATGTACTGCTAAGGGCCAGCCGAGTGGCTCAGTTGGTTAAGAGCTCGCTCAAGAGTTTGAGCTCTGAGCAACAGTGGTTGGAGTCCAGCCCCAGCTGAGCAGCCGCTGAGCTGCCTAATAGGTAGCAGGATGGCTCAGCTAAAAAAAAAATAAAAAAAAAATGTACTGCTAACTTGAGATATGATAGAAGTGAAAAAGCTGTACACTGGATTTCAAAGACTCAGTGTGAAAATATAATATAAAATACCTCATTAATAATTTTACATTGATCTCATGTTGAAGTGATAAAGTCTTTATAGTTACTTAAGTACATTATTAAAATTAATTTTGCCTGTTTTTTTATGTGGATGGTAATAAGTTTAAAATTACCTATGTGACTAGCATTATATTTTCATTGAATGGTCCTGGTCCACATCTTTCATCACATTCTCCAAAAGTTTATGTTGGAGGGAAGGATTTCCTAGTGTGAAAGCTGGTTTACAAAGTGCTTTAATATATGTTATCATGTTTGACATCTCACCCCAAAATTAAATAAATAATATCAATAGCTGCTATTTATAAATACCTACCATGTGCTGGGTAGTGTGATAATCCTTACAACAAGACAAATGCCATTCTTATTTATAGTTAAAGTTGAGGTTGCAAGAGATTACAGCTTGTGATAGTTCTACAGAGCAACGGCTACAGTTACCCTGTAAGGGTCCCATCTCTCCTTTTCATCTTCTATTTGCTGCTGATACTGTTTAGTTGAGCTTGTATCAACAAAGGTTGACCAAAGACATCAATAATTGCAGGTGGCATATGACGGTATCACCAGACTTAAGTATCTTGAGGTGATGAAGAAGAGTTGAGAGTGACAGGAGTGTTGCTTACTTACACGAATTCAATTTTGGCCCACAGACGCTAACCTGCCTCTAAATTCTTAAAGCCTGAGGTATAGAGTAAATGAACCAAATTAAGGTTTGATGCATTGACTGATATTCATTCAAGTGTCCTCCAAAGAACCAGCTGCATCAAAATAACATTGGCAGCTTGTTAAAATTGCATTTTCCTGGATCCCACCCAGATCCAGGATCCTTGCAGATTGGCCCCAGGAATCTGTCTTTTTAACAAACACTTCCTCCCCCCACCATACTCCCCAGGTAACTATTAAACTGCAATACTTAAAAATCACTTCCCTAGAAAGACCCCTATATCCGCAATTTACTGTTTTATGCTTAGGTGAGAACCATGCATCTCAGATAGCAGCAACTTATCTCAGTTCCCTCATCTTAAAGGAAATGATAATTATAAATAACTTTTGAGGTTATCAAGAGGAATAGAGATAATATATATACATAAAGCACCTTGCATCGTGCTTGTCACCAAGTAGATGTTAAATAAATGGCTGCCATATGAAAATTTCCTAACCAATTTATTAGATTTATTTACATATCACAAAAGACAAGTACAGAACTTTAATATTCATTATGCAGATACTATGTTCTTGGTGATTTACATACATTATCTTATTTAATTCCTACAACAATATAAAGTAGGTATTTTTTCAAAGGAAAAAAGAGAATCTTGGAGATTAAGAAATTTAACCAAAGGCACGCAACTAATTAGTGATAGAAATACAGCATGTCCAAAAACCATGTCCTTTTCATCTCAACACCACTGCCTTTCAGTAAATTCAATGAGCCATCCAGCTTTAAAGACCAGAGAAAGAAGACAGAAAGGTATAGCAAACACTGTTGTAGGTCACAGAGGTAAAATCTGCAGTAAATTATGGAAATTCAATAAATGCTGAGTTACTTGTATATGAGAGAGGACTAAACTCCTGAACCATTTCTGGTAGGGCATGTGCCTTAACTTGTTCTAGAATGAATTGCCACTGAGCCATTCTGACTCCCCTCCTCTGCGTCCCTCATGACTAACATTTATAAAGTGGTTGGCCATGTTTTGAAGGACATTCTGTGACTGCAGATTAGCAGGAAGATAACTAATCCATTGGGAAATAACATCAATGTCCTCAGCCTCCTCTACGGGCTGGGCAATGAGGCACTTGCCACAAAGAAAACCATATTAAAAGCTTCACTTTATCATAACCAGTGCACAAAAAGCTGAAGTGGGGGGTGAGGGGGGTGGAGTAGATAAAGAGATTCACTGATTCAGCAGGAAGGTTTTGTAAGAATATTCCATCTAAAAACAGTACTTACCTAAGTGTATAAATGTTTGCTCTAACGTTTTATTATCCAATGCATGACTCAGAATCCTCCTACAGTACCTCAAAAATAACAGAAACTTTTAATTACAAGATGGCATGGCTGTGGCGAGTTTTTACAGTTGCACCCAATAAACTATAAAGTGCCAGTCCTTAAAAAGTCCCTACATTACTCTAAGTCAATTTATCTTTTAAATCCTAATCCTGAAAGGTAAATAAACCACTTACAGGTATGATTATTTAATGTTTAAAATCTAGCATGGAGAGAAGGTATTAACTATTGTAATACCGAAAGAAACATTTGGTAATCTAGGGAGAAAGAGACTGAAGTTTGGCATAGTGTCATTCTAAAGCTTATACAGAATCCTGGGAGAAGACCACAAGTAAAGCAGGCAGGGTGCAAAGGAATAAATGGATGAGAAAGGCTCCCAGAGCAGATCCGTGAAGCCTATGTAACTGAGCAAATGTGTGATTGAAGAAGTTAAAAAGAAGTTTAAACTTTTTAAGACCAACTTCAAAGTTTCAAGTCTGGGATTTGGGGGTGCTATGAATAACTAATGTTGAACAAAAAGGAGCAAGTTTTGAAGGAACTGTGCATTATGTGGCAGTTTCTAATAAGCAAAAAAACCCAACAGGTAAGTGAGGGGTATGAAGAAAATGGGTAGCTAGTAAGGGCATTGGGAAAAGTACTGGAAAGCTCCAACTTTGAGATTTCAGAAAGGGAGAAATAGTCCTCATGACAAGATCCAGGTGTTGACAGTCTGATGTTTTATTCAGATACAGTCATTTCTTTGAGGGGTCTGGTGAGTGTTTGGAAGGTTAGAGACTGTAAAGTTAGAGATAAGATAGAAACAAGACATGTAGGTCAGCAATCCAAAAAGTTTAGCGTATGAAGAAAAATGTTATTTGAAGTGGGAAGAGGACCTGTGCACAACTTCCCAATTTGTTGGCCAAGAAATCAATCTCTTCAGCCTAGGAGGCAGTGCATTGTGCATTGTCCTCAGTTTCCAACTTTGCCTTCATGTAAAAAGAGTTGAGAAGCAGTGGGCTAGGAAACCAAAAAGAGATAAATTGTTGGCTTTCCATGCACTCATTCTAATGTCTAGCACATTTATAGTAAATGAATTAAGGAAAATGTAAAGAAAGAAGATTTAGAATTCTCACTGTTAAGAGTGGTCACTTTGAATCATCACCTCCTTAGCATAAATCATCAAAATGCTAGGTACGCATCTTTACTGAGCATCTCCCATGCCCCAAGCTCTGTTGGTATAAATGCTTTTCAAAGCAAATTCACTTTTTGAAAAAATATTGGATTTTTGCTTTTTGGATTTCTAAAGTTGATGAGTTTTTTAAGCTAGGCATTTTAGGGATTTTATAAGCAATTCTATTAGATTAAAATGTTGTAGTATGACCCGCCATCACTTAGAATGTTGTCTTTCCACTTTGCCAATTTTCTAACCAATAAAAGACCTAGTAACAATTGTGATAATTTTGAATCACAAATAGAATACTTCTTAAATCTAGATTTCTATGTACAAGGTCTGACAAGTTCGCGTATTTGTTGCAACGATGCTGCTAACCTTTTCTGAGATCAGAGGGATTATTCATTATAAATTTGTACCAACTGGACAAACAGTTAACCAAGTTTACTATTTGAAAGTGCTGAAGAGGCTGTGTGAAGAAGTTGGACAAAAACTGCTTGGGCCGGCTGAGTGGTGCATTGGTTAGGAGTTGGCTTGAAATGCCAGCTCTGAGCAGCAGGGACCCGGTCTGGATCCCACATGTGGGCCAGTGAC